TGTCTTTACCTCATCCTCAGGATATTAGGCGTACAGTATAAGCAGTGGTACGCTGGTAAATGTAACAACTGGTTGTCTGAAAAGCAAAGGCCCTCATTTGTAGTATTTTCCCAGTTCCACTAAACACCCTGGCTAATTTCAATATATCTGTATGATGTCATTAAATGCATAGTTTGGAAGAGATGTGCAGAATTGGCTCTCCTGAGTCAGTTATGACTCATCTCCTTCGTACTACTAATTGTAAGGAAAGAAAGATGATAATTTGTAATCTAGCCAAAATAAGACAATTGGGTAAGTGATGAGAGTACCTGACTGCTATTTAGATATAGAAGTGTATAGTAGTGACAAACAATAGTTTGCTTTTGCTAATGTTGTAGTAAAAGAAAAAAGTAGTGGGCCTTGTACCTTTGGTGTGTGTATTTGGTCCAACATGGCAGTTCTGATTCATTGATGTCTTTAGTCATTAGAATGTCTTGTATATCATGATTCAGAATTTTCTAGTAGAGTTCAAAGGAAATTCTATATTAGAGTGCAGATTAATTTTTGTATATCATGATTCAGAATTTTCTAGTAGACTTCAAAGGAAATTCTACATTAGAGTGCAGATTAATTTCTTTTTTTTAATTTAAACTTTTTATTGTGAATTGAGTAAAGATTTAAGAGTAGATCATCAGTCCCACATTCAACATATCTTAGTTTTTTCTTTTTTCAATTGTTACATACTTTTATCCTTAATATAAGTACTGGACTGTTAACCAAAGGATTGGCAGTTCAAACCTACCAGCTTCTCCTTGGAAATCCTATGCTGGGTTGCAATGAGTTGGAACTTACTTGATGGCACTAAATAACATCAACAGCAGATACTGTCAAGAACTTCTTAAAACTATTATATTTTGTTAACCCTCTGTTTTTTAACTAATGGTTCAGTGGTGATTTATTGCTATTTCACAACTCAAAAGACTTTTAGAAGTCATGTAGCATTTTAACAGAGGAGCAAAAATTAGGTAGCAAAACCATTCAAGCTTTGTGGTGGTGTTTTAGATAAAGTAAGAAACAGATTTATTGTCAAGCCATTGAATTTACCTGTTTTAGCAGTAAAATTGGCTGAATTTTTTTACTTTAAATTGATCATTTTGGATTTTTTTTTTCAAATTTAGTGATTTCAAAATATATGTTTTGTTTTATGGTACATAATGAATATAAAATACAATATAACAATCTTTCAGAGTAATTTTTATTCAATTCAGAAAACTTGTGTAATGAAAGAATCAAATTTGGGAAAAAAATACAAATTTTCTTAAACTACTATAAGGAAGTATGTATTTACTTTTATTTTT